GAGAATGTTCCCGCCTTTTCCAGTTTCTAGAATTCCTTCCTGCATTCCTTAGCTCTGGGCCTTCCGTCTTTGAAGCACATCACCCCAGCCTCTGCTTCTGCTGCTGCGCCTCCCTCCTCTGAGGTCCCTGGTGTCGGCATTGGGCCCACCTGGATAATCTCCCAACTCAAGACCCTTCACTCAGTCCCATCTGCCACATAAGGGAACACACTCATGGATCCTGGGGATTAGGACGTGGGCATCCTTGGGGGCCATGATTGTGCCCACTGGGCTCAGGAAGAATAACTGTGGCCTGGAGAGGAGTGGCCAGCGTGGCTGCCTTCACCGGGCCCCTGGGTCCTGCTCCCGTCGCCATCGGCAAACAGCCCCAGGTGAAACAGCCAGGAGTTTCCTGCTGGCTGTGCTTCCGAAAGCCGTAAGGTTCCTAGAACTTTAAAATAACGGTTTCCTCCCAAACGTTTTCTTCTCTGCACATTGCTGAGCGGGTTTGTTCAGTCCCTTGGCCCAGAAAACACAGGGCGTGAAGGGCCTCCCGTGGCAGAATTTCATGCAGCAACAGTCTCTTGGGTCCCTGAAGGGAGGCAGCCGACCCCTGACCTTGGCCTGGGGGAGGCGGGCGTGTCCCTCGCCCTGGGCTAGGCCTGCCATCCAATAGCCCTGTTCTCCCCGTTACAGATGCTCTAGTTACACGTTCATCCCAGACAGTCTGGAAAACAAACGAACCCAAAGTGGAAGATTCCAATCACCCACAGGCCAGAGGGGACCCCGAGATCCCGCTGTTTAGACTCTGATGACTCTTCTATCCTTTGACCTCACACTCTGCGGACACATTTTCCTTGCTCTGATCTCCTCGTTACACGGACGGGGCTTGGTCTTGATCATGAGCTCTCCTCATGTTCATGGTCACTGTGTCTGTGACCTTCCCGTGGGCGTGGGGCCCCGACAGGGGCCTGGGCTCTGGATACTCCCGAGGCTGCAGATCCCAGGGGCCTGGCGACCTCTGCGCTGAGATCCACCATTCCTGTTTTAGGGGCGGCCTCTATTCCATTCATTTTAAAAAATAGACTATATTTTAGAGCAGTTTTAGGTTCACAGCAAAATTGAGCTGAAAGTAGAGTTCCCATGTCCCACCTGCCCCACACAGCCTCCCAGCCAACATGGCGTGAGAGAGGGACATCCGTTGCAGTCGATGAGCCTGCACCGACATGTCATCCTCACCCAGCCGTGGTCTACACTAGGGTCACTCTGCTGCACGGTCCCTGGGTCTGGTGAGATGTAACCCGACATCCACCATCACAGCATCACACAGAGCGGTTTCCCAGTCCTGACAATCCTGTGCTCTGCCTGATGCCACTCGTGTTTGGAGCATGTTGTTTTCCCAGGATTGTTCCGTATTTGGTGTTAGCAAGGGTGTGCAGTGGAGGAGCGTGTGTGCTCGTCATGACCAGGTGTCCTTAAGACCCCAGGATGCTGCAGAGTCACCTGGAAGGTTGGAGAGATGCCTGGGGCCAGAGGTTCTGATTCCACTGGTCTAGGGACCCAGCACCGAGAACTTGGTTTTGCCTTAGTTCCCCACTTACCTCACTGCAGGTGTGGCCCTGCGTCTCATACTCTCTGGATGGGCACACAGGGGCTGGGAGATGTGACCAGGACCTGGACCTCCCAATCGTGAAGTCTGGCTGGGTCAGCCCTCCCACGGGCAGGACTCAGCCACCTGCACTTACCCGGCCGCCCGCAGCCCAGGGTGCAGGGCCAGGTGGGCAGTCGGGCGGGCGCTCTGCAGGCCTGAGAGCCCTGGGGGGGCACCAGGGCTGCCTGCGGCCGGCTGCTTCCTCAGCCTGCAGATGCCGGCCCTCAGAGCCCAGAAAGTTGTCAGGACCACCTCCCACAGGCTGGTTGGAGCCATTTACGGCAGAGCTCAGCACCCGTTAGGGTAACCTGTGGCCGAGCAGCAGGTGGCAGAGCCTCCCCAGGGCCCGCACTGGGGATCGAACCCTGGCACGCACCCTGCTGCTCTTGCCCTCCGGCAGGGCCCCTCATCCTCTCTGGTGTTGCAGGTCCCTGTGGGTGGTCCTGAAGCTGAGACAGCAGCTGAGGAGCCCTGCAGCGGCCGTCACCAGGTATTTCCTGGGGAGAACGGCCAACTTCCCTCTCACAGGTCCCAGGAGTTTCCCCAGCCCCCGGGGGTGCTCTGAGTTGCCAGCATTATCAGCCCTGTCCCTGCACAAGGCCCGGGGGGGGGGGGAGGGGCGGTGCCTGGGTCACCGGGCTCACCACAGCCTCCAGGTGACAGTAGCACCCTCACTTGTGGGGACAGTGGGGCTTGCTCGAGGCCCACAGGCAGGACACAGCAGCCAGGACTCGGGCTGAGTCCTCACGCTGCACCCGCAGAGCAGGACCGGAGGACCAGGGCAGTGTCCCTTTCTCCTGGGAACCGCTGTGCCTGGCTCAGGCCTGGGACCTGCCCGGGGCCAGTCCTGCCCCATCCCTGACTGGTTCCCGGGGTCAGGACTGAGATGTGGATTTGAGACTTTCCACACAGGTCTGTGCCCTGGTCACGTGGGCTCCCTCTGGGGGTGGCAGGACTCCTCCTTGCTCACAAACAGGGTCTGTGGTCACTCCCCTCCCTGCCCGTCGGGCCAGCACGGGCACCCCTGGGCCTGCCCTGACGACTCCTCTTTGACCCCACAGCCAGCGGCCCCGGAGCACGCGGGGGGCCGTGGAGGCCCGGATCCAGTCGGAGCTCATGACTCTCCTGAGCAACCTGGCCGACCTGGCCAACGCCGTGCACTGGCTGCCCCCGGGTTTCCTGTGGGCCGGCCGCTTCCCCCCGTGGCTGGTGGGCCTCCTGGGCACCATCTCCTCCCTCCTCAGCGTGTTCCAGGCAGCCCGGGCCAGCGGCTGGGCGGACAAGGCCGCCTCCTGACTGGCCGGAGGTGCACGGACACCGCTGGAACCTGCTGAGGGCCTTCCACGGACAGGAACCACCGGGCAGGCGGCTGGGTCTCTGAGCAAACCAAGGCCAGATGCGGGAGCTGCCACCCAGAGAACACAGGGCGTGACCTGGGGCACGAGCTCAGTGAGGCAGGATGTGGTGGGCTGAGGTCCCTGGGCACTGGGGGTCTGGGCCCTTCCACCCAGGGCTCCCCCTCGCCCCGCCCACTTGGAGGTGGTGTCTCTCAGGGGCAGAGCAGAGGACCCGGGACTCCCATGTAGACGAAAAGGCCACAGCGGCCTAAACAGAGCCTCACTCCCGTCCCTGGCATCCTGTACCCAGATAGGCAGGCCAGGATGGTACATGCCAAACGGGCCTTCAGAAAGCTGACATGAGAATCAATTAAAACTGTGGTGCTGGTGCGAGGCCCAGGGTGTGTCCTTTTTCCTAAACTCGCCAGCTCCTTGCCCCTCCCATCGCAGGCCCACTCATTGCACGCCCTCTCCCTGCACCTTAGTTTAGGGAGGGCGTGCGGTGCCACCTCTGGACGTGACGGCCCATGTGCCTGGGTGGCTTCTCAGGGGACAGAGCTGCAGTGGGAGGCCACACCTCCCATGACCCTTTCTGGAACCCCTTTGGCCGGTGGTCCTATCCGGTGAAGGCTGCTGGGGCAGCAGGCTGTGCTGGCTGCCACCCACGCTGTCTCCTGCCAGGCCGTGCCCACATCACATCCTTCCTCCTGATCCCTGGGAGGTGCTTGTGGTCGAAGCAGCTGACACTCAGCCACCGCTCGGACCAGGGCTCATCCCTTCAGGCCAGTCCGGCACCTCGTAGGGTCCTCGCGGGCCGGCCCGTGTCTGAAGATGCCGTGGCGCTGCCTCCGCCTCAGGGAGGCGTTGGCGGGACCGGTGTGTTTGTTTTCAGTCTGACATCTGCGGCCGGAAGTGCGTGCATGTGGCATTGGTCGATGATGCCCAGCCTGCGCCTGCTGGGCGATCTCCATGTGTCCCGGGACCCTCCACCTTAGTCCCCGTGGGAAAAAGGGAATCAGGCTCTGCCTTACGTCCCCAAAGTGCCTGGAAGACTCACCAAGACCTGTGCTTGCAGTCTGAAGCCTCATGATTTCAGCCAGATGGCTCTTTTCTGGGAAGATAAGTGGCTGGGAACAGCAGGGATGGAGGGCTGCTCGGGGTAACATGGGTGCAGAAGGTGCCCACCCTACACTGGCTCATCTCCCCCTCCCTATTGCAAAGCCGAGCAGCTGGCATGTTCCGGCGCCCGAGGAACCAGCAAGACTAGGTGGGGTCAGAGCAGCACCGCCTGCCCGTCTGGAGACTCAGGGAGTACATTAGGCGCTGCACGAGTGGCCGAGCCACGTGGACACCTGGCTGTGCCACATCAGGCCCCGGGGCTCTGGCTGCTGGTCAGCCTGGGCGCCACCGCTGGCCAGGCTCAGGCACACTGCTGGGCAGCTGAGATGACCCTGCCTGCATGTGGCCACACCCCTGCCCACTGCTAGGTCCCTGGTGGGGGGTAAGGCGTCACTGGTCCTGGGAGCACGTCTGTGGCAAACGGCTCAGGGAGCAGGGGGCCGTCACCCTAGGGCCACAGGGCCAGGCTAGCCAGGGTGGGAGGGCGTGGCGGCATTCCCCAAAAGCTGACCTGCATTGGGGGGTTCATTCTGGGTCTTCTGCCTCTACCTCTGACTGTCCAAAAAGGATCGTGCGGGGACTTCTGAGAGGAACAGAGCAGGCTCCGCTCGCCACAGGCGTGGGGTACAGGCAGCTGGTCAGGCTAGTCTTGAGGCTGCCTCCCTGCACTCCCCGCCCCAGCTACAGGGCAGGAGTGGGGACAGCAGCCGAGGGGGCTCCTAGGGTGTTGTGGGCCCACTGGGAGGTGGGACATCAGACTCTGGTCCTCAGACTCCTGCAAGACCCTGGGTCTGGTCAGACCTCCCTCCAGTTTTCCTGCAGCACCTGGCGTGCGGCCCCGCTGGCGAGGTGAGCCTGGGGGAGCCCCACCAAGAGACGACCCTGCCGCAGTGAAGGACAGCTGCTCCGCCAGCTCGTCTTCAGACACCTTTATTGCTAGAATCGGGCTTGAGCTCTAAGGCAGTTCTGAAACATCCCGCATGAGGACATGCTGCGATCATAGCATCACTGGGTGGACCGAGATCATGTCAAAGTTACCAAAGATGTACCCAGATCCCACAGGAGTAACACTGCTCAGCCGCCAACTTTACAAATAAAACCGGGCCCTACCCAGGAGTCACCGCAGGCTACTGGCCAGAGCATGTGCCGAAGACCTGCCCGCTGCACGGCCTGAGTGGAGACCCCACCACATGCCGAGAAGCCTGGGACATCTCTTCCGAAGACCTGTGTGCCTGAGGCCCAGGAAAGCACTCGTCACAAAAGGACAGGAAGTAAAGGAGAATTCTCTAAAGTGCTCTGATTCGTCTCAGTACAAAAACACAAAACACTGATTACAGATCCAGCACAGACAGGCTCTCGTGTCCAGGGGATGGAGGACACGTCTCTTTGGTCCTTGCTGATGCTGCTGGTCCCGTAGGCAGAGTTGAGGGTCAGGGCCAGCGGGGGCCGGGGCCGGAGTGGTTCTGAACGGCTGCTGTCAGCTCGTCACTCACTGGCTGTGTCACCTTGACCCTGTGGTGCCCCAACTCCTAGGCAGCCCAGGACCCATCCTGCCAATGCTTCGGGAGGTCTGGGCTCTGGGCCGGTGGAGGGAGCCTGGGATGCAGAAAAGTATGTCATGTCCCCTTCCTGCACCAGCACCCGAGCTTGTGTTTGGCCAGAGGTGGGACGTGGCTCTGGCTCAGTCACCACCCTGACATGTGACACCACCCCAACACCCACAGCCTTGCGAGTGGACTGGTGGCCCTTGTCCTCTTCCAGGGATAAGGGGACAGTCCGCTACAGCGGCTCACTGGATGTGTGGGCCTGTGAGGTGGCCACCTGCCCACTGAGGTCTCCAGGCCACATGTGCTCCCAGTGTGTCACCTTCATTGGCAGTGCCACCGCTCTGCTCTGTGTTGTACCTGCATCAGCCCATCAGCACCGGACACCAGCCCTGGGACTTCCTCTTGGAGGCCCTGGGAACACCAGCTCATCTCATGGGGACTGAGGGCCCCTGCTGGGGGCTGGGGCTTTGGGGCGTGCTGGCCTGGCTAAAGCTCTTGAGTTGGCTTCCCCAGGCCGAGCACCTGGAGAGCCACGCAGACTCGGTGAGGTGCCTGGGAAAGCACGAAGATTGACTAGAGCAGGTTTTAAAAAACCCACTAAATTAACGCAGGTTCCAGTCAGACCCCTTCGAGATGAGTTCTGCCCTAAAGAACTCACTCGAGTACAACTGGCCATCCTTTCTAGCCACTCTGCCCTGGGGCCCTCTGTCCCTGGGGCTGTGTACGCCCTCGCCTTGCGGCTCACCATGAACCCATGTACATCTCGGCTTTGATTCTGCCAAGGGAGACAGCTGACACTACCCTGGCCCTTCTGCTGCCCTAATGACCAGTCCAGCTCCAGTGTCTCCTCCTCCTCATACCGAGGTCTGGCCCGTCGTCAGGCTCCGTGTGGGACCCCCAGTCTGTCACTACCTGGGAAAACTGCTTGGAGTGGGCCTCTCCCTACCCAAGCGGGGGCTGCCATTAAAATAGCTCCTCAGTTAGCTTAGGTTCAACCTTCAATTAAAAATGTTCCTTTTCGTATAAAAAAAGGCACCGCTGCTGATCAATCCTACAGCAAGAGCCTGGAGACGACAGGCGGCCCCGGCCCCGGCCAAAGCCTGGCCAGGTGGGCATCCACGGTGGTGTGCTGGGCAGGGGGAGGGCAGCCGGCGAGTCCCAGAGAGCACGGCACCTCAAGCCGCTGGCCCTAGAAGAAGATGACGTCTTCTTTGCTCACTTCTTCCTTGTCGAGTGGGGTAAGGGGCCGCGGCACGGGCAGGAAGGGGGGACACTCGGGGGACGTGTCCTCCACGGCTGGGCTGGGCGCCTGGCAGGAGAGGTCTGGAAGACAGAGGATGGCGGTGTCGGCAGCCACCAGGCATTGCGGAGGCCCTGTGCCTGGGTGGCTGGGCTCACCTTGGGGGGATGCGGAGCGGTGGCTGCTGCGCCGGACGGGACTCAGTGAGCTGTGGCTCCGAGAGGCGTACTCCTCCTTGCCCGTGAGTTTGCTGAAAAGCTGCTGCTGCTGCTTCAGGTCGAACGAAGCTGACAGAGGGAAGAGGGTGCAGCCTGGGTGCTCAGCCTGGCTCCCGCACGTGGCAGCCCCCACCCCTGCTCTTGAGCACTTCCCAGGACACTGTTCCAGGGGGACCCCGCTCAGACAGTAAGCCCCAAATGCAGTGACACAAAATGGGGAGAACAGCCCCCAGCCGACCCCAGGAAGCCCCTAGAATAAGCCAACCTCTGGACCCAGTCCTGGGACACAGGCCCTGCTCTGTAGGTCCCAGGAGGGCTCCCTGACCACACCTGTACCCTCACAGCACCTGAGGGAGCCCCGAAGCTGTGTCAGAGACCCCTGGCATCGTCACCAGTGTCCCTGAGTGACTAGGGTGCTCTGACTGCTGGCCTCTGGTGCCACCCACAAGGCCTGCCAGGCCCTTCTTTCTGAATTGCCAAGACACGCCCTTCCTGGTCCAGTTTGAGGACTGAGGTGGAATGGACCTGGGGTCTGCCAGGCCCATGTGGCTTCCAGAGGATAAACCTCCCCAGGGTGGGGGAGGGGCCTCAGCGCATGGCCAGCTGCATCTCCCGGAGGACGGCCGGTCCTGTGGTTCGTCCACAAGGAGGGGCTTTGGTGTCACTAATTGCCCCGACTGGATCTCCTAGTCCGGGAGGGGCTGGGCCGGCACTGGAGGCCACCGTCTCCCAGAGATCACCTAGACCACCTACTCCATAGAGGGAGCTGGGCCCCACCCGCCACACCCTCCCTCAGCACAGAGCTCACCTGAACTCTCGCTGCGCTGGGAGCCCCTGCTCTTGCCGCCCTTGTCCTTGCCGCCCTTGGTGAAGGCCGCCAGCTTGGTGGGGATCTGCTGCTGCACGGCCGCCTGCCTCTGGATCTGGTTGGTGGTGCTGAGCAGCTGGATAGGCACGTCGCTCCTGGCTGGCCGGCTCTCGGCTGGGGTGCTGTCCCGGCGAGCCACCTCCTGGCGCTCAGGGCCTTCCAGCCCCTCCCCGTTGAAGCTGGGGGAGTGGCTTGGGGGCTGGGCCTGGAAGAGGGACAGAGACACACCCCAGAGACGCTCCTCAGGGAAGCCCTTCCTGGGACAGAGGGGAGGTGCTCTCCTCAGCACCGCCCACTCCCAGGGCTTTGGGGAGAGCCTTGTCCACCCGCCCGGAACCTGGGCCCACAGCTTGCAGCCTCTTAGCTGGGCCGATGGAGCTGCCATTCGCTGCCTGTCCCCTACACACACACACACACACACACACACACACACACACAGAGCTCGCAGCCCCAACACGGGCACTTGCATGGTGACACTCACGCATGCGCTGCCGCCATGCACCCACACCGGCGGCTGCCCGCTCCCTTGCTCACCTCTGTGGGCAGCTCAGGTGGCAGCGCCCCGGGCGCTGTGTTCTGCTTCTTGAGCCTCTGCAGCAGCTCTAGCCGCTCCCGCTCGCGCTGCACGAGGCGCTGGGCCTCCCGAAGCCGCTCCAGGTCGTGCTGATAGGCCCGGCGCTGCTGCTCCAGCTCGGCGCGCTCCTGGGCCAGCTGCTCCTGCCGCCGCGCTGCCTCGCTCTGGCGCTGCTGCAGGTGGGCCGAGGCCAGGTCCAGCTCCTGCCGCTGCTGCTCCCGCTGGCGCTCCCAGCGCTGCTGCTCCAGCCGCAGCTGGCTCTGCAGCTTCTGCACGCCCGCCAGCTCCTCCCGCTGCTTCTCGAAGTTGCGCTGCCGCTCCTGCTCCAGCAGCAGGTTCCCGCGTGTCGACTGCAGCCGGAACTGCTTCTCGCGCTCCTGGATGGAGGCCCTCTGCATCTCCACGTAGCTGTCCTGCTGGGTGATGACCGCCTGGGGAAGTGGACTCATGAGGTGCTGGCCCTGCCCTCTCCCAGATCCCCGCCGCAAGCAGGAAAAGGGCAGTGCAGCCTGTCCCTGCCCACCACGCCTGTACCTGGAGGCTCAGGAGCAGCTGGGACAGTGTCTGGATTCGCTGGACCAGCTGTGGAGAGACAGAGTGCTGGCTTTCCGCCCGAAGCCCTCCCGGTGTGCGTGCCAGTCCCCGGGAGATGGGCGAGCCTGAGCCTACCTCCAACTCCAGGACAGTGGGCAGACGGGGGCCAGACTCAGTGCCTGGGGCCTCCACCTGTGGAAACAATGTCGGAGCACACAGCTGCTAAGGAAGCAAGCCAGACTCCGTGCTGACGAGACTGCCCCAGCACGGGCAGGCCTTCCTCACTGCCTGGACAGTGAGGGCGCAGGGTGGCTCCGGAGGCGGGAGGCAGCTGGCAGGGGCCTGGCCATGGCACTGGCCTCGGACTCAGCACGCCGCCCGGCCCTGCTCTCACCCGACGCTTGGCAAGGGTGGGTGTTCTGAGTCGAAGGGGAGGGAGCAGCCAGCATGATTGGCACCCGTGGCTGTGAGGACACTGACCGCTCATGGCCCCGCATGGTGCTCCTCACCTGTGGGGAGGCCACGGCTGCTGCCCTGAGCCCGCGGCTGCTGCCCTGAGCCCGCCCCCCCCCCAGTCTCCCACATGCCGGCCTGCAGGAGGATACATGAGGCTCACTAGCTGGTGTGCTGCCTGAGACAGGCTATTCCCCATGAAGCGAACAGTACATGCCGCTGGCCGTGAGGAGAGGCTGAGCAGTGACAAGAACTGGGCCGGCGCTGTCCTGAGCTCAGGACTGGCCCGAGGGAGCAACGTACCACCCACGGTGCTTCCTCAGAGGCGCCTGGGGTGTCGCCGAGCTTCGCATCTGCACTGCTCACAGGGTCTTGCCAGTCTCCTGGGCTGAGGTCACTGCTGCATACCTTCTTCCTACAACTGTCACCTAAAAGCCCAGGCCAGGCCCGTGAGGATGCTTGGGGTTCCGCAGGGTCTAGACCCTCCTCTCCCCCCGCCCGAACCCAGGCAGGAAATGGTGGCTGGGCTGCTGCCTTAGGCCTGTGCCGAACCGCGGCATCTGTGGCGCACAGATCGACAGGAGCAGGCCCAGCTGCTGTCAGACATGACCAACACTCAGACGGCCCCTGACCCTGACCATAGAGGGTTTACGAACGCCGACAGGAAGTAGCAGCAGAGACGCCAAACAGCACATGCCGGCTTTGCCAAGGACGTGAGCAAAGGGAACATCTGAGAAGCCCGAACCTGCTGCCGCTACTGGCCTTCCTTCCCGAGGGTCCCAGGGCCCAGCCCTTGGGGAGGAGGTACCACTCACTCTTGCCAGGGTCACTGGTGCTGTCGGAGCCTCCAAAGGCCTCTGCCCTCTGGTGTAGGCCCGCAGGGGCACCCCCCTCTGCCTGGCCACTGGTGCCGCCCAGCCGCCTGCAGATGAGGCTCTGGATGTCCTCGACTGTGGAAGGAGACAGGCGGGATGCAGTCACTCTGTGCAGTCACACTGTGCGTGTCAGGTGTGGTGCAGGGCCAGGGCAGAGCGCGGTGGGGACCAGCCCCACTGACCCTGTGCACTCCCTGCACAGGCGCTCTGCCCAGGTCAGGCCTCTCTGTGGCTAAAGGAGAGACCAGCCCCGTGGGGCAGCATGTGGTAAGGGCATCCTGGACCCTGGGCCTGAGGGTATGCTGGGTCCAGTAAGGAACTGTGTGGCCACTGCTTGTGTGGTGACAATCATCCAGAATGTTAGGGGTCATGGAGGGAGGACTTGGGGACACGGCTGGTCACACAAAGTGCTCTAGGACAAACAGGCTTTGCCCAGGTGAGGCGGTTGGCCGAGGCCCAGGACACAAGAGGCCTCAGGGGCCAAGAACAACAGCCACTGAAGAAATGGGAGGAACACTGCTACGGCTGCGGAAGCCAGACCGAATGGGGGCAGAGTCCATGGGAGCCCGTCTACTGTTACCTGCACTGTGAGGGGAGGGGATGTGTCTGCCTTGTTTGCTGCTGAAAGAGGGTGAATGAGCACGGCTGCGGGCCTGACGTGGGGGCTCAGGAGCTGCATGGAAGCTGCCTGGGCTCTGGCACGGACCCCGACTGCTCCGCGAAGCAGGCCTGGCAGGACGCGCACAGGGGCAGGCCACCCACCGGCCAGCGCCCTCCCCTGGCTGCTGGTGCATCTTCCCACCAGACCCTGGGCCAGCTCCTAGGAGGGCTGCTGGGTCCAGGAGCCCTCGGAAAGGACCATCAATGTGTACGTGTGCGTATTTCTGAATATATCACCATGACACACTACTCAGAAAGGAGAGTCACCTCTTGAATGTGGGGACTCGTCTCTGTCGACTTCAGATCCCTGGGGCCCAGAACAGTGCCTTGCATGTGGCAGGCACCGGGAGTGTCAAATGTGCGAGAAAGTGGTCTAAGTCCACAACCAGGGGCTTGCACTGGGTCTCGTCTAACAACCCTCTGGCTCTAACAGGTGCTGGGGAGGGTGCCCAGCTGCCCAGCCAGATAGAAGTGTGCCCCGGAGCGGGTGGCGAGTTGGCCACACCGGGCCAAGGAACTACCAGGCAGAATGGTGCTGGATAGGGAGGCGCTGTCCCATGAGGACCTTGGGGCAAGGCTACTTACTCTCGGTCATGGCTGACTTGAGGATCCACTCGCCCTGCAGGTTCTCTGAGAGGTCCCCTCCTCGGAAGAGGAGGCGCGGCTGAGCCGAGTCGTCCAGGCCACTCATCTCGGCCATCTCCAGGAAGATCTGCTGCTTCTCTCGCAGGCTCTGTGCGATCTGCTGGTCTTTCAGGCTCAGTCGTTCTGCGAAGCCACGGAGGTGGCCGTCAGGCTCTCTAGGATTGTTCCCCAGGAGTCGGCACTGGGGGGGCCTCACAGAGTGGGGCTGGCCTCCGGGGACCCCTGCTGATCCACCTCACCCCAAGGTCCACTGCTCCCTCCATCCAACCTTTGTGAGGCAGTGAGGGACTGGCCCTGCCTCTGATCGCTTCCCACAATCATAAATAGCAAACGGTGGGGTACGGTGAGACCATTAACAAGCCAATTTTGGGACAAACTGAGAGCCTTGTAAGATTTAGTTTTCTAATCTTGAACGTCCTCCTTCAGGCATTTAGGTCAAACTCCTTCCTACAAGTCTTCCTGTTTTATGCTTGTACGGCTGCCATCTCGGTGACTTATTGGATCAGACTTCCTCACTGGTGATTGTTAGTACATCTACATCAAATTCAGACTTATAAATCCCTCACTCTCTCATCAGTTCCAATCATTTTCCAGTTGATGCTATTGTATTTTGTAGCAAAATAATCATGTCACATGCAAAAACATCATTCTGCATATTTTAATACCATTTTTACACATGCTTTGATGAATCATTTCCTTCTGATTCTGGGTTTTTTTGTCATTCATACAAGGAACTTGCTCACTGCTATAAATTAAATATATTCACCCATTTTCTTAAAAAACAAATAAACAAACAAAACACACACACACACACACACACACACACACACAAAACCATAATTCTGTTGCCACCCTTCCAATCATGCCTTACTTCTGTCTCTCCCAACATTCCCTGGCTGGGACTGCCAAGGTGAAGATGATAATGGAGAGTGGATGGCTCCAGTTTTTTAAATCCTCACCTGCACTGTGAGGGAGGATATGTTTTTTAATTGATTTTAGAGAGAGCGCAAGGGAGAGAGGGAAAAATATTAATCGGCCTTACATACGCACCCTGACCAAAGATCAAACCCACAACCTAAGTGTGTGCCCTAACTGGGAATCGAACCTGCAATCTTTTGGTGTAGGGGACAATGCTCCAATCAACTGAGCCACCCAGCCAGGGCTGACTTCTGGTTTTGATGCGAGTGTCTCAAAGTTAAGGGTGAGTTCAGCTTTTGATTCAAAATGGGAAAGAATATCTTGATAAAAATATATAGTCCTAATTCGCTAAGAATCTTGGGAATGAGTGGTGAAGAGACATCACTGTGTGACTCCAGTCTCCATGCAGGACATATATTTCATTGCTATCCGAGAAAATTGTGAGTTAGAATGAGATGAAATGAATACTTTGCTAGGATTATACCCTCCAATGGGATTTCCTCCCCTTTCTTTTGGACATTTTAATTAATATATTTAAATGTGCACTTCCTCACAAAGAGAAATAAAATATATACTACCCAATTTTATGTACCTATTGCGTAAATGTTACTTTATTTAAAATAATGCCCTTAGTGAGCGGGAAGAGGGAAGAGGGAAGTTGATTGAGACCAGAGTACTAGGCACTGCTCTTGGCAATGACCTTGCTGAAATCTCACAGGAATTTGTTGAAACTGGGAGGAGAGTAAACAAGCACAATGCGTTACACTCACATAATGGAATATTCCTCAGACATAACAAGGAAGGAAATTCTGACACCTGCTGCAAAGTGATGGACCTTGAAAATATGCTAAGTGAAATAAGCAAGATGTAAAAGGAGAAATGCTTATAACTCCATTTATACAAGGTCCCTGGAATAGCCACATTCAGAGATAAGTGACTAGAACAGTAGTTCTCAACCTTCCTAATGCCGTGACCCTTTAATACAGTTCCTCATGTTGTGGTGACCCCCAACCATAAAATTATTTTTTTGCTACTTCATAACTATAATTTTGCTACTGTTATGAATTGTAATGTAAATATCTGATATGCAGGATGTATTTTCATTGTTACAAATTGAACATAAGTATAGCATAGTAATTAATCACAAAACAATATGTAATTATATATGTGTTTTCCAATGGTCTTAGGCGACCCCTGTGAAAGGGTCGTTCAACCCCCAAAGGGGTCGCAACCCTCAAGTTGAGAACCGCTGGACTAGAAGTTATCGAGCTGGGGGAGGAAGAGCAGAGAGTGACTGCTACCAGGGACAGGGTTTCTTTTGGGGTGATAAAAATGGTCTAAAATTAATTGTGGTGCCCTGGCTGGTTTGGCTCAGTGGGTACAACGTTGGCCTGCGGACTGCAGGGTCCCAGGTTCGATTCCAGTGAAGGGCATGTGCCCAGGCTTGATCCCCTGAGGGGGATGTGCAGGAGGCAGCCAATTAATGATTCTCTCTCATCACTGATGTTTCTAGCTCTCTTTCCCTTTCCCTTCCTCTCTGAAATCAATATATATTTAAAAAAAAAAATAATAAAATAAAATAAATTGTGGTGATGGCTGTGATGTGCTAAAAGCCATTGCATGGGACATTTTAAATGGGTGAATTATATGGTGTGAGAATTCTATCTCAATAAAGTAGTTTAAAAAATTAAAAGAGGGAGGAGAAAGCCAAGGTCCCCGGGCCAGGCTGTGGAAGGAGGCTGTGGGTCCTGCGCTAGTACAGGGCCGTGTGCTCCTTCGTACGTGACTTGGGACACTCACCGTGAACTCCCCTGAATGCGGACGGTGGGAGGGGGCCCTGTGTGGCAAAGCAGTCGTGTCCGGAAGGGGCTCTGGGACGCTGTGCCCCTCCTCCCTTCCCCACACCCCGGAGACCACTCTGCACCTCCTGACAAAGCTGCTGCAACAGCCCACAGGGCTGGACCCGAGGCGGCCACAGCAGAACCGGTCACTTGCGCAGTGATTCTCGTCATGGCCAATCCCAATGGGACAGAACAGAAATGCCACTGGTGGGCCCAGGCCTGCTGCCTAAGGAGTGCTCTGCAGGGCCATGTCACCACCATGTAGGGGGCACATCTGTGGGAATGGGCGCCCAGACTCCCTCCCTCTTACCTTGGAAGTCCCTCAGCCTCAGGGCGCGGGCCTCCACCACCTTCCTCTCCTCCTCAGCCTCGCTGAAGGGCCCTTCCTCCTCGTCAGGACAGCTGCGGGGAGGGGGACAGACGGCTGAGAATGCTCACGGGCGGACTGGCCTCGGAACGGGCCTGAGAAGTTTATCTCAGAACCAGCTGATAAGAGGATCTCATTTTGTGGTCGGGTTAGCTGGTCAATGTTGCAGAACAAGGACAGGGAAGAGCAAGACAGCCATTAGCATGAACCTAATCTCAGTGCTGGGATATCACCAGCCACAGGTTTTATTATTTATTTGTTTATTTAAAATGCCTTGAAAGCCATGCCACTGCTTTTTAAATTTTTAAAATTTGATTGATTTTGAGAGAGAAAGACACACATTAATTTGCTGTCCCACTTACTTATGCATTCATTGGTTAATTTTTGTATGTGTCTTGACCGGGGTTCAAACCCGAAACCTTAGTGGATCAGGACGATGCTCTAACCAACTGAACTACTGGGCCAGGACCAGCCACGTTTTAAATGCCGGCCACAGCGGGAGGAAGAGACTGGGGACAGCTCTTCCTAGGGCCCTGCCCCGCACGGAGGCTGCAAGGCTAGCAGGGCTGAGGCGAGGACGGAGCGAGCTCCCAACAGGCTAAGGCTTTGGGAGGTTTCCAGGCACTGAGAGAGGAAGCGGCAGGCTGCCTAGGTGTGGGGGCTGGGCCCCCTTTTCCTATCTGCTGGGTGGACCAGGAGCCAGGCATCACAGAGAACCGCAGGGCTGGGGTCCGAGGTTCCCTGGCCCGGGGAGGAAGGACAGAATGCCATGATCTGCTCCAAGAGGTCTGGCTCCAGACAGGGGCGGGGGCGGGGAGGTGGGTGGTGGTAGGATGGGGACAGCTTGTGTGTCAGGCTTGTGTCCCACCAGAACGGAAGTCAGAGCTGCCGGGCTCCACGTCCCCTGGCGAGACACACTGGGGCCTCTTTAGAGGGGTCGGAATGGTGGCATCTTTGAATGAAGGGGAGGAAAAAGCACAAGGTGGAGAGCGGAGAGGGGAAGCAAAGGTCTCTGTCCGCCTGTGGTTTCTGGTGCTCTCTAGGGCAGGTCAAGGTCACAGCCAAGGGCAAAATGGCCCACGTGGAACACACCGGCCCTGCTCACCTCTCAACGGCCCTTCGGATGTGGGCCATCCAGGCGTTTCTCTCCTCCTTGGAACTGGTGTAGATCTCGTACATCTCAGGCCCTTTCAGGGAGGCACTGATCAGAAACATGGCTTTTTCCTCGTTGGCTACTTCCCTCACAATGAGCTTTTGTAATGAGATGACGGGGCGCTTCGAGTCCTATGTGGGTGGAACAAGGTGGGAGGGTCACCTTTTACCTACTGCAGGGCGCCCCACTTATTTCCAAGCAATCCAAAGTAGAAATATTTTACCATCTGGGGGAAAAAGACACTATTGCTATGACATTCGTGTATCCTTTAATGCATCTGTTTAATGTGCTTAAACAAATGTGTTTTATAATCAGCTAGAGGCCCAGTACATGAATGTGTGCGCAGGTGGGGTCCGGCGGGGCTGTGGGTGGTGGTCGGCGGGCCCCACCCTCTGGTTGAACTGGTAGAACTCCCAGTTGAGGGGACAATTTGCATATTGGCCTCTTTTATTAGGATAACACATGCACACAGCACAAAACTAAACAACAACAACAACACAAACAGAAAAACAAGAGCAGATAGTAACTATGACAATAAATCTTCCTCCTGCCCTGGCCCTAAACACACAGGGCCAACCAGTACTCCCAGTGAGCAGTCCCGTAAGAAGATAGTAAAATACACATTTTCAGCTGGTTGTTTTGGGCTGAATGGTGTTCCCTCAAATTCATACGTTGAAGCCATCACCCCCTGCACTCAGAACGTGACTGCATTTGGAGATGGGCCTTCGCGTGGGTGATTAAGTTAAAATGAGGTCATTAAGGTGGGCCTGACCCAATCTGACTGGTGTCCCTATAAGAAGAGACAGACGCGCGCAGAGGGACAACCATGCGGGGACACAGGGAGCAGACACCAAGCAGACTGCAGCATCGCATCACCCTCAAGCGAGGGCACTGACAGCACACAGGCGTGCTGGAGCCAAGGGCAGACGAGGTTCCACCGAGCAGCCTGGCCCGTCCGCGTGCTGGGAAACCTGGGAGGCTTTCAAATCTGGGAAAGGTACGTGACTTCATAGTTGAGTCAGTGCTACCCTCCTCGTCAGGTGAACCTGGAGGCCTGGCGGGGGATCACGCCTCCCCCGCAGGGAGGTCTGTGCTGTTAGACCCTGAGGACGCGGGGCCCTGCAGGTGAGCGGAGGAGGAAGCAAGTCCCGGGGGCTGTGGGTGGGGAGGGTGACTGGCATCCCAGCCCGACCCCCAGCCCACCGGCTGAGCCCACCGGCTGCGCAGAGCCCGTGGCAGGCGTGGCTCCCACAGCAAGGGTCTCCTGGGGCCAGCCTGCTGTGGGATCAACACGGTCAAGCACAGGGTGGTGGCTGCCTGAGCGTGTTCTCCGCGTCCAGCCGGAAAGTCCCTGGGAAGGGCAGAGGGGCTTTCCTGGCAAGGCTGGGGCCGGTGAGGACCTGGGCGCTTTGACAGAAAGACACAGAATGCAGACAGAGGATGTCTGCGCGAGCCCTTGCAGCCTCGTCAGACCAACTAGACAGGACCCCTGTTCTGGGGAACTTCTACTCCTGCCTTCTGGAACCTTCTGGCCGTGGGAGGACCGGGGACAACACGTGACTTATGGATGGGCTTGTCCAGCCACCTCGCTCTGTGCTGTTCTCGTCTAGTTGTGGCTGCAGCCCGGCCACCCCTCCACCCAGCGCCTCCTGCGCAGCCAGCAGCCCTTCGTGTGAAGAGAGGGACACATACCACAGAAGCAAAGACGTACTTCTGATCCTTTTCTTGTAGCAGCAACAGCACATCGGTCAACAGGACGGCAAGGACATCTAAGGGGAGAGGACAGGAGGCAATGCACGGGGTGCCAGGAGACATGGACCCTGAGGAGGCCTTGGGCACCATGGGAGGGGCCTGGGCCACTCTCAGCCCCGAGCCATGATGCTTCTGCAGGAGCCTGAGGGTTTCCTTTCGACCTCACGCCCCCCCCCGCCCGCCCCCACCTGCCTGGGTTCCCACATTTCTGCCGCTGCACTGCCGGGGGCCCTGTGCCCCGACGCCCCCTGTTGTAACGGTGCCTGCTGGGTCTGGTCTTTGAGGTTCTCTCACTATGATTTCTCAAATGTGAACTCCGCCCCCTCCCTCCTTCTACCTGCCCCAGGCCACCTGGGACCTGAGGTGCTAGACCCCGGCTTCCTGCCTCCTCCTGCAGCAATGCACTCCCGTCCCCTCGTGGCCAGAGCCTCCTTCCCGGGGCAGCAGGTGGGTGTCTTGTCCCTGTGAGTACCTCTCACAGCACCCGAGCACGTGGTACGATCCTGAGTGTAGTTCCGACACGAGCACTCATGCCCGGGAGCACGGCTTCCTCAGGGAGAATCAGACACCCTCTCACCCCAGCCTCTGGCTTCCCCCAAAGCACTTACTACACTTCGCACTACGTTTCTGTTGACTGGTTTCGCTCTCTGCCCGCTGACGGGAGCCCCATAAGGGCAGGGGTCTTCTACCACCCACCTCAGGCCTGGCACACGGGAGGCACTAAACTAGTGGCTCTCAACCTTCCTAACGCCGCGACCCTTTAATACAGCTCCTCATGTTGTGGTGACCCCCAACCATAATATTATTTTCGTTGCTACTTCATAACTGTAATGTTGCTACTGTTATGAATCGTCATGTAAATATCTGATATGCAGGATGTATTTTCATTGTTCGCGACCCACAGGTTGAGAACCGCTGCAACTGTATCTACTGGACGCATGTCATGCAAAATACCACAGACACATTCCATCGTTTGACCACCTGAGGATTTTGCCACTCCCTTTAGGATCTTTACAGATGCTGATGCCAGTGGACAGGCCAGGATGCTTCCAGAGGCTCATGAACCTTGAGCGTGAGATCACGCCATGAATTCTGAAAGTTGGGCTCAGAGCACACCCTTAGCCGTGACTGGGGTGCCCGGGGACACTGAGGTCTGTGTGGTGTTTTCTACCCAAACCAGGCTCTTTGGTGGTTGGGCCACTGCAGGCGCACCCATGGCTTGTTTGGAAGTAACCTGGGCCTCACGAAGCTTTGGATTTCTATTCAAACGTCCATGAGTCCCATGCCCGCCTGGTGTGCATCCCACCATCTCAAATGTGGAGGGAGAGGGTGCTGGTGTGAGCATCTCATTCTCACTACACTCCTGGCTGCCTGTGCTCATCCCGACTCTGCACACAATCTCCCTTCAGCCACAAAGCAGCCAGACCGCAGTGGCTCTGGCCAGCGGCACCCACCAACCCCAAATGGTGCTCACTGACCCAGAGGGCACCCCCTCCTCCAAGATCGTGGCACCACTCCAAGTTGGCAGCACCAATTCAAGGTGGTACCAAACCAAGAAGGTGCCACCGGTCGAAGATGGAGCCACTACTCCTCGATGGCACCAGCAATGCAGAGGGTGCCCACCCCCTCGGACGGTGCTCCTACTCCAAAGCAGTGCCCAGCACCCCCAGAGCGCGCTGCACGCCGGGCAGGCTTTACCTTTCAGGCGCCCCGCCGTGGTCTTCCAGGCCAGAGTGCCTTCCAGGTGCAGCTGCCGCTGCAGCATGTCCTCCTTGCGGAAGGGCAGCCCGTTCTTGAGCTTGCTGGAGGACTTCAGGTCCATCCTCCCCGCGATCTCTCTGAGGCGCTGGCCTTTCTCGCACTCGCTGACCTGGGTGTCCACTTGTGAGATAACGTCTCTGATGAGGTTCAGGGCCTGGGTCAGGTCTTCGTAGTCCTTGGAGCCAGCTGCCACACACAGCAGAGTTAGTGCTTTCCTTCGTCTGCGCTCATGAACATGGCAGAGGTGGACATACTACGGGGTCTGTGAGCTGCATTCCCTGAGGCAGGACTGCTTAGAGGGCCCTCGAGAATCACCTCCCAACTTGAATTTCCCAAGACATCAATGCTTCTCCAAAATACATGCACTAGCCCAGCGCTGGGGTTTTGCCCAGAGTGTCTGTTGAAGTCAGGTGCACTGCCCTGGTAAGAGCAGCCCTGCACAGCTCCGTGGGCACTGCCTGGTCAACAGCCTCCCTGCACCCCTGCCATCGCCATGAGCTAGGGATACGGCTTTCATGGTGGGGAAACGTGCTCATTTTCCCACGCTTAAATCCCCTGGAGCTGAGGGAGCATGGCCAGCACTGCCCTGGCCTTCTCCTCTGCCCTCCATGTTGTAGGCAAGTCCCTCTCATGGCCCTGCCCCTGGACTCTGTGCCCGTCTGGATCACTCAGGAGTGACCTTAACGAGGGCACTTTCTCCATCATTCATCCACTCCCCAGATGCCTGTGCCAGGGGCAGGGGTAACAGCAGGCAAACGAGACTCAGTGCCCATCTTCCTTTGTTGGAAACCCCAGCACCCAACACAGTGGATTCGCATGGTGGCACCTGGCTCATGATCGCCACGCTCAGCTGAACCCAGAGAACCAGGGACAAATCCGAGGGGCACTTATCCAATCCGCTGCCCAGAGGGGCAGGCAGACAGACCCCAGCACCACGGGCAGGGCAGGGGTGGCTGCGCACCTTCCGTGTTCTGAAGGATGCGCTCCACCAGCACGGGGTACTTGGTTATGCGCTGAGCGACCAAAAGAACGCACTCCTGCACGCCAAGGCGTCTCACGATGGAAGAGCTGCCGATTTTCTATGAAATGGAAAGAAACCATGACACACTGACGTTTTATTCCTGCCAAATCAGTGAGTTTAACTGGATCGGATCCTGAGGCTGGGCGCGCCTTCCTCTCCTGGCTGGTGGGGACCTTTTCTCTGCACTTCACCAGGTATTTAAAAGCAGGGAGCCCCTCTGTTTGCGTAAAGGCAACAAAGGCCAAGACAGTCATGCCTGTTGTAAGAGGGCCCCCGAGAGACCAGCTGAGAAGAAACCAGACTCAGCCAGGGGCGGGTATGGGAACCACCTGGAGAGCTGCATGATGCACACACGCACCCTGCATGGGATCCCAACCCTGACTGACGGCTGCTGGAACCTTCCAGAATGACTGGGCTGGGGCCTCCTGAACCGCTCCCTGCTGGCGTCTGACGCACACCTCTGGTAAGAGCCCAAGAACTGGCCTTCAGAAGCCGTTCCTGGGTGGGGACTGAGAGCAGCTCTCCAGAGTGTACCAGCCCACTGTCCGCCTGCATCAGAAATGCCAGCACTGCAGAGAGGACCGGGAGTCCTGGTGGGATGCGTGTGACTCATCAGAACCTGCCCACTTCCCAGGTGTTTCTAGCCATGACGTCGGGTGGCCTGTCCCACTGCTCAGCACAGATGAATTCAGGCCCTGAAGTGCCCTCTCCCTTTCATGTCTATCCACTAGGATGGTAATGGAGTGAAGTGACCATTCGTTAGAGAATGTCACCTCAGGGTACAGGTGCAGGTGGTGGAACCCTCCTGGATCAGGTGGCAGGGGCTGCTGCAGAGCCACGCTGATGGAGCCCCGCAGCCTCAACCAGGTGTCCTGTCTAGAACATGGGAGGTGGGCCTTGCCCGACCCGGCTGACCCAGGCTGGGGACGTATTTTTAGTTCTGAGCTTGAGCGTCCACACACTGATAGGCAAAACATGGGTGTGGGTCATTCCACAGGCTATCAGGGAACAAATGGGGACGAGAGAGGGGAGGAGGCAAAGATTTAGAGTAAGGCACACCTTGCATCAGTCGGAGTGTCTGAAGCCACAACAGGTGACTCTGGAGGGGGTGGCTCCCAGGGAAGGGTGCCCCTTGAAACCACACTGTGTCACCTCAACATTTTGAGAAGGATGGTCAGCGGGCTCTATGCTGGGGCATCTCAGGGGCCACCGTGGTGTGTCGAGGAACAAAGCTCTAACTCTACTTTGCACCTGGGGATTCTCCAGAAGATTCCACTGACTTGTTCTGAATGTGTCATTAAGAATGAAATAACAACTTGAAAGTCATTGATTTATAACGGGCACCTTAATCAAAGGATCTCCAAACAGCTCTGTAGGGGAAAACCTACAGCAAAGAGGATATGTTTTTAATTAAAATTATAGTTCTTTTTACCTTGATCAAGTTTTGAAATTTCTTATTTTGCTGCAGCAACAATTTGTAATGACTGACTGCTTCGTTGTGTCCACTACAAAAGACACCGTATTTCTTTTTCATTCTCTCTCCATTTTCACCTGAAAACTGAAGAAAGACAGTGGAGATGTTAACCACCAGGGAAAGTTTTCTTCCAGCTCATCTGTTTTCTCCTAAAACAAATACTAAGTTCACTTGCAATTTAACTTTCTTCTCTAACACACTCTCAAACACAGCAATGCTTCATTACAGGTGTCTCACGGCAAGGTACAGAAAGGTAAAGTGCTCATGAGCTTTATGCCATTATAGGTGCTGTAACAACTTCCTGAAATCTGAGAAGAAAAAATATATTTAAGCCAAAGAATGTTAGAAAAATTTAAAAGCAAAAGGGGTATCTTCTAATTAATTCCCATGAGCTGACTCAGATCCTGGAGCACTCTGAGGTCAGATGAGGGGTAATGAGATCCTCTGTCAATCTTGGCCAAGACTCAGAGGTTGACTCTGAAGTCAATTCAGGGTCAGCACCCCCCTCCCCCATGAATGGCTTTGGGTAATCAATACGCTTCTAACAAAGAAACACAGCCACCAAGACAAAAAAAATAAAGGCCAGCCAATCAACCAAAGAAAAGCCCAGAATGCACTGCTGGACAGTGATTGCACAAGCGTGTTGCTATTTAGGCGTCTGTGGTTAGACCATTAGCTGCACACACAGCAGGAAGGGCCCCGGATCACTGTCTTCTAGAGAGGCAGGCTCTCAACCAATCGGGGGAAAGGGTTCCTGGGCCCAATTCCAATGTGGGGGCGGTCCCCTCCATAGTAATGATTCTCAGACAACAGCAGGGTCTGACACTGTCTACCTGGAGACAGCGTGAGATTCCACAGTTAAGGGTACAGTCCCTCAAAAGTATCCCTCCCCAGGACACCAGGTGTCACCCGAGCCCCTGACCGACTGGCTATAAACCAGAGGTCCCACCATCCCCTTCTTGGGTTAGATGAATTTGCTAGAGTGGCTCACAGAACGGAGAGAGACATGGTACTTGCTAGATCACTGGTTTGTTATAAAGGATGTAACTCAGGAACAGCCAGATGGAAGAGATGCGTGGGGCCAGGATGGGGAAAGGCGCAGAGCTTCTGTGACCTGCCCAGGCACCACTCCCCAAATCTCCATGTGTTCACAGCCTGCAAGGTCTCCAAACCATACTGGGTTTTTATGGAGGCTTCACTACACAGTTACTATTGATTAACTCAATGACCACTATCAATTGATTCAACCTCTACCCCCTCTTGTTGGGGGTGACGAAATTCCAACCCTCTCATCAATGGTCGGGTCCCCTGGCAATCAGCTCCCATCCTTAGGCTCTTCCTGACAGTTACCATTCACAGACCAGATGCCATTATGCTCTCAGCACTCAGGAAACCCCAGGGCTGGGAGCTGGGAGCCAGGAAGCTGGATGAAGACCACATGTATTTCTTATGAATTCCAATACTGCAGGGAGCCATGTTTTTGTGATTAGGAGGAACAGAGGGGGCGGGGCTTGTGCTGGCCTTGCCCACCTGCTGTACCAGGAGGTCCCCAATTTTCTGGATGATGTAATTCCGGTCGCTGCCCTCTTCCAGGGACTCCTGGCGGCGTTCCTTTAGCCGAGAGAGAAAGTGGCCATGCACCTCGAGCAGGTCGTCTGCACACGGGAAGAGGCGGCTGACGGCCTTGCTGCTGAACTGCAGCTCCTCCTGCAGGGCCCTGGAGTAGACCTTCAGCATGATCTTGAGCGTCCGCACGTGGTGCACCTCCGTCTGTATCAGCTCTGCGGAGACATGGACGACAGAACTTACCCCGAGTGGGAGCACACCCTGGCTTGGCTCCTCGTGTCCCACGGGGGCACTGTGTGTGCTGCCTGCCCACCACGCACCAGGCTGGCTTCTCCGTTCTCCACCCAAATCTTTGTCCCCGAGGCCTTACTGCCCAGGGGCCAGGCCTTCCGGCCCCAGTCCTGCAGGGCTCCCATCTTAAGGGAGCAGCGGGGGATGGAGTGACATCAGGACAGGGAGGACCCACGATGTGTACTGTCCTCAAATTCACAGGAGGGTGTTTTTGTTGTTGTTAATCCTGCCTGAGCATTTTTCGATTGACTCTTAGGGAGAGTGGAAGGGAGGGAGAGAGACAGAGAAAGAGAAATATTGATGTGTGAGACACACATCTACTGGCTGCTTCCCGACCGGGGCTGGGGATTGAGCCTGCAACCGAGATAGTGCTCTTGACAGGAATCGAACCCAGGACCCTTCAGTCCTTGGCCTAATGCTCTATCCACTGAGCCAAATCAGCTGGGGCCACAGGAGGGCTTTGTGCCTAGAGTCGAACAAAGACATTTCAAGGCTGTTTAAGCCAGAAGATTGGATAAACACCACTCCTTGGGGTGTGAAACTCACACATTTGTGCATGTCAATGGCCAGACTCAGACTAAGCCACCTGGCCAGGGCAAGTGAGATTTGAATTCATTGTAAAGGCAAAGAAAGGTCAGGTTTTGTGTTAGAGTTTTTCTGATATTCAAGACAAGGCCTTAAAGCTCTTCAAGATAAAACCAAGGTCAACAGGGCTGGGCCCCAGGTGTCCAGAGGGGCCGGAGGAGGGCTGGAAGCAGTCTGTGTTCGCCCAGCAGTATAGATCAGGTGGCAACTGGCTGCCCAGATGGAAGGGGGGATCTAGGCTGGTCCCCCTGTCCCTCTCTGCAGGATCTGTGGCCTGGCCCTGGACCCTGAGGGAAAGCATCCAAAAGGTTTTCCTCCACAGCCACACCCCACCTTACTCTGGGCCAGGCAGGGGGCTCAGCGTGTGAAACGCAGAAGGACGTGAGTGCCAGTGGACATTACCAAGTGGCACACGGGGGTCTCGGAGCTAGACCTGCCGTGTGGGATACCAAGAGAGAACCAGCATTTCCTCCCAGAATGCCATCAAGGAACAGCAAAGTGCCTCCTCAGGTGACACAATAGTCATTCTTGGGGGATGGTTCCCATGAAGAGAGGACCAGGAGAAGAGCCAGTAACAGCCCTGGCTGGGCTGCCCAGTTGGCTGGAACATCATCCTGTACACCGAAAGGTCGTGGGTTCGATTCCTGTCAGGACACATCCCTAGGTGTGGGTTCAGTCCTCGGTTGGGGTGCGTACGAGAGGCAACCAATCGATGCTTCTCTCTCCCACTGCTGTTTCTCTCCCTTTGGGCCTTTGTCACTCTGTTGAAAGGGGCTTGGAGGGCTAGGGCCCCCAGCACAGCTCTTGGCCTGGGAATGGCTCTGTGCCTTAGGAGCTGGGATTTTCATTGCAACCTACAACATCCCGTCTCAGGACAGTGGCTGCCCATGGCCTGGTTCTCTGACAGCCAGTGGGAAGGAGCGCCTACCAGGAAGCTGGTGCTACAGTCACATGGGGAGAAAGGGACATGCTTCCCAAACATGCCAATCACAGCCATGCTGAGGCCTTCCTTCTCTCTCAGGGTCACCAACAAGGTAAGATGAGTCAGGCCAGGGCATTCGGCCATCCTGACCCTTGGGGATGTTCCTGGCCACCTCTTCCCTGTCCTGGGGAGAGCAGTGAGCGGCTGAGAGTCTCAGGAGGCGTCAGCAGTGGAGCCCAGATTCCAGGTGGAAAAATTTGAAAAAAAGAAAAAAGGAAAGAAAAGAAGGAAATGCCAGTGTGGGGGCGTAGGATTTCTTACCATAAATCACATCCTGTCTCTTCGCCACCTCCTTCTTTTGTTCCTTTGCGTACGCCGGGTCCACAGACAGGCTCCAGGACTCGGCCTCGAACTCATGGGCGTCCGATTCGATCTCACTCCTCAGTGAGGCAGTGTAGGGGTCTGGGGGAAGGGCGGGAGGCCACTGCTTAGCACCTCAGCCTGACTGGCCTTCATCCCATGAACAAACTGACATGGGTCCCAGCATCCCCAGGGTGAGTGGGGACCACATGTCACCAGTGAAGGAATTGGGAAGACAGTACCTTCTACAAAAATGGACTCGGCATTCGAGGATGTAAGTGAAAGGGAGTCGTCAGCTACCTGCTTAAATTTCAAAAATACAGAGTCGGCTTCATCCATCTCTCCTATGACTGGTCTAAAAAAAAAAATCATAAAAACAATTATTTCAAAATATTGAATTAAATATGCACACCCCATCTTATGAAGGCAAATTAGACTGTTAATCAATCTGCTTAAATACGAGTGGAGAACTCTGTGGATTTTAGTATGAGCCTTTACTTTGTCACAAGTCACTTTTGAAAATTAGAAGACTGTCAACACAGCATCAGGACCTCTTCCAGCATAACGACCTTTACTGTTCAGACACAGTCGGGGTGCGGTAAGTGTAAGCTTCCTTTACTGGCCAGTGGCGCCCTCGCCCCCAAATTCCTTCAAGCGAGAGCTCAGAGTTCGTGGACAAAGCCTCACTCCGCGGGGGGTTGGGGGAGAACCCTTCAGAGAAAGCCGATCCAACAAGGATCACACGAAGACCTTTCGGCACGAGGCCTGCTCCCCCAGCACTGCTGAAAGCGGTATCAGATGAGCCACCGGGGAGGCCTGCAAACACTGCGGTGGGCATCAATAACAGGACGCAACCTCCACGGCGACCTCAGTGGGACTTTTAGCCTCGTCCTGAGTAAAGAAAGGGACCCCGGACGAGGGTCCTTCGAGAGCAAGAAGCAAAACCACAGCTTTTAAAAAGAGAAAGCAGTGGCTCTGAACCGGCGTTCCTGGAACCTCACCTCCTGGCCGGGTCTCCCTTCAGAGAGGCCGCCGGAGGGTCCCCTCCGACCGCCACCCCGAGCTCCCTCCCCCTCCGCACCCACAGCAGAGAGGGCCGCTTACCCGAGTCTTGCCCCTGTTCCCGCCTGGCTGGGTGCTGGCTGTGGACTGCCCTTCTGCGAGACGGTCATGCCGGCATTCCTGGAGAGGGCCAGGCTGCCGTCAGACAGGAGCGTGGGTCGCGGGGGCTCCTTCACGGCCGCTGTGACGGAGGCAAGGACAGAGTTGGTGCTGAGGAAGTGGGCAGGGTAGTGGAGGCGCCCCGTCTGGAAGCCCTGCTCTGACTGTGGCCGCAGCATGGACAGGATCTTGGAGGTTAGCAGCTCATTATTTAGAAAGACATTCTCGCCCCATCTCCTAGGAAAGGAGCCACAGAAGGACAGCTCGGGGCGGGGCGGCGCACTGGCCCTGCCGCTGCCTTTGGGATGCGCGTTCCCCATGCTCGCGGTTGGGGCTCCCGGACTCTAGCAGTTTTATGCCTCCGTGAGATCCTTCTGGAAATGTGAAGTGGCGCCTGCTCTTACTGTATTGGCCGCCGCCGCAGCTCTGGAAGCAGGAAATTGGTCCCTACTGTGACCGTTTAGGGTGCAAATCGCGCCACATTTTTTCCTTTGGCAGAATAACAGCAACAAAGCATCCTCCGTGTCAGCGGGAAGTCAAGAGCAGAGAGCAGGTCTGTTCACTGTAGAGAAGCTCAGATCATGAAAAGGGAGCTCCATGCTCGTGTGGCTGTGCTGACATCACACACACACACACACTGAGGCTCAGAGACCACCACGGTGAGGGGCATGCACTGCGGTTCATAAGAATTCTAGCAGAATCTAACCACCAAAGCAGACAGCAGGCTCTGAACCTATTCATAGGGTGACTGTAAACCAACCTAACATGCAACAGGGGACCAGAGGGCTGTCCACTCCCATCTGCTCATTAACTAAGAGCTGAGCTATTAGGAAGCACCTTCCCACTGATGGAAGCAACTCTGAGAACCAAGCTATCATTAACTAGGCTGGGTTCCCTTCCTATTTAACAGGTGAACCATTTAACTCAAGTAGGCTGCCTGGTTAATTTATTCTCAGGTGAAAGCCACATCTGAAAGCTTTGCTCCAAGACCAACAGCAGCATAAGAAGAAATCTGCCCGGTGGCCTTCCCGACCTGGCTCTGGGTCCCCCACCCTCCCATCCATCAAGGTTTCTGGAAGAAAGTGGCTGGAGCTCTGGTCTCAGAAGCAGGGAGACTGTCACCTGGGGGTGGGCACAGGGCTGGCCCTAGAGGAAACTACTTCTTTCAGGAGCTCTGGGGGGTTGGGGGTGGGGGTGGGGGGCCTCGGCATGCTGGGTGAGTTTTAATTTTGGTGGAAATTTAAGGAGCTTGCAAGTGTGCAGGTGGACATGTGTCCAGGGGAAATTTCTGGTAGAGGAGTAATGGAAAAGCTCGCAAACGGAAACTCCACATGCACAGAAAGCGTACTGTCCCACTACTCATTCTTTAACGAGCGTAGCATGGTGAGGATGCCACCTGGGCAGTGACCCCCAAACACAGTGACATCACCATCCATAGCGGCTAGCAATCGCCATGAAATCGAGGCCTTCGGGGTCCAGGGCAGGCATTGCCCGCCATTTCTGCACCACAGTAAACTCCACCCTGGCGATTAGGACCTTCTCGTAGAAATATGAGACAGGTCCCGAAATGCACCCTTTGCTGCACATCCTGGGAGGACTGACACATTGCTCCTGTGACGCCCAGCGTTGCCTGAAGCGGGATGGATTCTACCTTAACCAAACAGTCCACAGAAGAAAAACACTCTCTAAGAAGCACTGGTTCCAGAGGTTGTTCAAGGGTCAACTGTACTTATTTATTCTGATCTGAGTCGGTTTCCCCAACTGAATGGAGGACAGTGCCTCCTATAAAACAGGTCAAGGAACCACTTTTTCATGAAATGTTATTCAGTCGAAAAAAGGAAGGACATTCTAACACACCCTCCATCGACGAGCCTTCAGGCCTTTACGCTCCGTGAAATGAGCCAGCCACAAAAGGACAGTATTGCAGGATTCTACTCATCCGAGGTTCCTGGAGCAACAATTTTCCACCGGTGTGACCCAAGAGTTTTTAAAACATGCAATACCTGGCTATTTACTCAGGAGCACTGACTAAATAAAAAAGTGACAATAGCCAATACAATAGTTCCTATCTGGTGTGAACGAATCAAAACTAGACCTATTTTTTGGTCAGACTGGCAACATGTATGTTTTTTTGGTGTGCCACAGGATTACAGTAATTAGTTTATAATTACTAGGTATCAATTTGGGGGTTACAAATACATTTTAGCAAATAAGTGAATTCATAAATACAGAATATGCTAATAATAAGGATTGAGTATATTAGGTGTTAAATGAGAAGTTATTATATTTTAGAACACCTGTATTTGCTCAAACACACACCACAGAGCACTGGTTTCTTCCAAAAGTATATGAGATGGCCTTTTATTTTGGGGAACTTCTTACAGAAAACTTTAACGATGCCCATTTGGTGGCAATGTGACTTTACTGAAATAAATTCTTCTTCCTCTGCAACAGTCTAACCATCACACCACTCAAGCTACATAAGACTTTTAAAATAAGATACACAGCCACCAATCGAGTCTTTCTGTAACATATGCAGCCTTGGAAATAACGGCTTGATCAAGACATGAATCAGCACCTATGCCAAAGATCAGCGGTATGAAGCATGTCTTTCTGTTCTGTATTTTTGATGGTCTGACATCTGGGGCCCAGCTCACCTGGAAGGACTGCCCCCACTGCAAGGGCAGCCGGTTCCTGGAGATGGTGAGGACTCACCTGCAGGAGTTAAATTCATGAATAAGCAAAGCAGCCACCCAGAGCCCACCTCCCAACCACCTCCTTGGTGGAGCCTCACACTCAGGGTCACCAGCCACCTGCCTTAAGCTTATCACCCGGGCCTGTGCCCCAGATCCCCCTGGGACTGTTCGCAGGAGCCCATCCTCATGCCGTCAGCCCTGCCTCGCCCTTTCCTCCCCAGGGAATCCACAGGCAAGGCCCTGGCTCAGGTTTCCCCTCCCTTCTTCCTCACAGACCCTGGCGCTTCGCTGTGCGGCCCTGATACGGCTACGGTCAGGGTGGGCCTGGAAAGTGCGCGGAGGGAAAGGCCAGCCACAGACCACGCTTTCAGGGTTCCCTCCACAGGAAATGGGCAGAACAGGCGGATCCATGGAGGCAGGAAGTAGAGTAAGAGGTGCCCAGGTCGGGGGGAGACTGGAGGGTGGGTGTGGGGTTTCTTTTTTGGGTCCTAAAGTTAATTGCACTGACTCTGAATATACTAAAAGGCCCTGAACTGTACACTTAAATGGGTGAATTGGACGGAATGAGAATTCAACAGATAAACTCGGCAGGACCAGCCGGCCTTCTGCAGGAGAACAAGGCGTCTGGTTTGTAGTTCAACACACAGTACGCGTTGGGCATCGAGCTCGGGGCTGAGACAGAAACACGCACGCATCCTACCCAGACGCCACCCTGGGACAGCCCCGCGCGGACTTGGGCAGAGGCTGCCCCCACCGTCTGCACGGCCACAAACGCCCTCCAGGGCCTAATTAGCACTGTCTGCCCACCGCTGAGCGGCCATCGACTGGCACACAGGGCTCTTTCTAACGGACCGAGGAGCAGCAGGGAAAAAGCAGTGAACAGTGAAAATGGAGAAAGTTCTTTGCCTGGAGGAAAACAGCCCCCCAGCCCCCATTCTCAGCGACAAACACGGATGGCGGCCTGTTCCCATGATCTTTAGCCTGTTCTGTCTTAGTTTCTTGAACCAAAGAGGAGTCTCTGAGCAAATGTGACCAAGCTGCGTGATAGATGCCAGGGTCCTGCCTGACCAGGCTCCACACGTCCAGGCTCAGGGGCTACTTTCTAGTGCAGTTATGCTCCACCTGCATACACCTTCCTCTCTAATACACAAACACGACCCCATTAGCCTTTGCAGGAATTGTAAGGACCCACAAGGAAATTCTGTGAATGAGATTTAATAGCTACGAATCCTTTGAAAGTCATTTTCTGAGAAAGCTTAATATGGCATATCAAGTGATCATCTTAATTGCTTTTAAATTGTCTTTTATCATCTCAAAACACACTGGCTTCAAGAAAAATTGACTTTCAAGCAATAATTTTATATTCTAAATGGTAGATTCCTCCTGCTGTCTGATGGGGAAGCAGCTGGACCCTGGCACAGAGGTTCCTGCAGTTTTCTGCAAAAAGCCACACGAACGGGCCAGACCAGCAGCATGTTTCGGCAGGAACAGCCATGCCCAGCCCCGCAGCAGTTCCCAAGGCCTGGCTGCGAAATAACTGCTCCTTTCCTCACACTCAGTGAAGTCCTGCGTACCCTCCCTGCCCCCACTCTCTATCTCAGCAAACTTTCCTTTCAGGCTGACAGTGTCGCCCGCTCTGGAAAGTTCTAGCAAGCTCGAGCTATGAGCAAGTGTTAGAGAGACAATTAAAAAACTCTGACACAAGATGAAGTTTTCAGTTCACAGTTCCCGTCTTTTCTGACGCCTGAGAAGAGACTAAATCGATGCCAAGATGACTCATTGATTTCTCTGCCCTGCTTCATTTAGATGTCACACAAGCAAGATGGTATAACAAAGAATAAAACTACAGGAGGAGAAAAACACCATAGCCCCATGGTTTAGGGCACAAAGGAAAAAAGGTGTCTTGTGGCTTAGAAGATAACATGAGCCAGAAAGAACACTCTTTCTAAACCCGATCTTACCCCATAGAAAGTACACGAGCCCCCTACTCCCCAATTATCCAGGATAACATTTAAAACACTGTGGTGTCTGCTTGACTATGTGTGCAGAAAACTTAAAGACCACAGAAAGGTATAAAAGTAGAAATAATCCATAATGCCACCATCCACAGTTAACTGCTGCTAGTATAAATACTTTTATAAGTTGAGAAATAATGTTTAGTAATGATGATTGGGAATTTGTGTTGAAAAATCCTTCACAAATAGCAAAAGGATAATATTAATAGGAAACACATATTTTTTGCATAATCATCATACAGGACATGTGGGTATGCCATTCACTGAGCGATGTGGGGGTTAGGGGCACTGATCCCGGCAGTCAAAACTCTGCATGGAACTTTGGACTCCTCCAAAAGCTAACCACTAATAGCCTACTGTTGATAGTAGCT